TTTTATTCACACAAAAAGTATCCGAGCGCCACTCATACACGCTGCTGCTCAATGACTAGTGTTACGGCTGCTCCAACGCATCAAAGACCGTTTTTACAACGATGGATATGTTTCGAGCGTCAGAAATGGCTGCTCGAGCTCTCGCGACCCGTCATATTGCGCCAACGAGCTCCAATTTGGGGTCGGGGCCACTCAAAGTGGGCTTAAATGGACTTGTCTAGGTCGCTCAACCATTTGAAGTTCGTCGTCCTTTCGAATATTGACGCGTAGTTTTTACAAATTCGGTGCAAAAATAGCCACCAGTCGCTATACATAAATCGAATGAGAATTTTCAAACCATTTAATTCGTCTTTTTATTCACACAAAAAGTATCCGAGCGCCACTCATACACGCTGCTGCTCAATGACTAGTGCAACGCCTTCGAGGTTATGTGATTAACGACGCCCTCTTGGCCAATCCCGAATTGGTTACGGTACGGCGATTCTTCCGATTGGGTACACCTCGCAGAGGAGGAGGTCGGCCAATCGAATTTGCATGTGCGCAGCTGGAGCGTCAGAGCTTGCTTGCATGATCCGACAGTCGCTGACCTGGAGGAAATCTCAAACTGACCAATCAGCGATGGGAAAAGCCATATGTTGGTCTGCAGCCGAGAGCCGCACCTGTGGAGTCGCAGTAAGTTACTCTGCACAGCATCTAGCGATTTCATAAGCCGCTGGCCCAAAGTTACTCTGAATCGACCCTTATGGCATGACATTTATGTTCTTAGAAATCTCTCGGCTACAAGTTATTGTGCCTCAACGTGCAATTTGACGCTACGCCGCTCGCGTAAAGAGGGCATCAAACGCGGCCTCTTCCTCCGGAGATAGCTTTGGGACTCTTTCGATCGCGTCTTTCAGATCGGCAATCGTCGCGTCCAATGACACGTGCTGCTCGCGCGCGACGCACATTCCCTCGCACTGCTCGACCATGAGCCAGTGGTGGAGCGTCGAGAGCCGTGATGGGTGCGTGAAGGCCGTTGCAATGCGCACGGCACGCAGCCGCAAGAACATGGCGGCGAAGAGATCCTTGGCCAGCTCCATCTCGTCGACAAACTCGAAGATGGCCCGCCATTCGACGGCGCCTAGGGCCACGATGGAGATGTCGGGCGTCGGCACTTCGACATGCAAGACCGAGGCGTATACTCGGCGGTGGGCCGACGTTGCCCGGCGAAGCGCCGCAAGCCCCGCGATCGAGTCAGAGAGCACCACGTTGACGTAGTTGACCGACGTCGGGACCTCGGCGAGGTAGTAGGCGTACTGGCCGAAGCGGACGGCGCCGTCGATGTTCAGTGCCTCAGGGCTCGGCAGCTCCGTCGAGTCAAAGAGCGTTGGAAAGTGATTGGCAATCGCCGGGACCGCGCCGCACCCAAAGACGAGGCTGTCAAAAAGCACCGCGTCGGTCAAGACAGGCTCCAAGCTGTTACGATAACGGTCTGACAGATCAAAAATGGACGAGGTCCCCTCGAGAGCGTGTCGCTCGTCGTCCGCTTCATGACGCAGACGAGCCATGTTCAGACGCAACACTGCCTTAGTCGCCTTGAACGTCTTGGTCTTGTCCGTGAGCGAGGCCGCTACTGTCGTCGAAGCCGTCGTCGAGTCGCTGGGCGCTGCCGGAGGCATCTTGTTCGGGTCGTCGGTCGCAGCCATGACAGCATCATCGAGTGTTGCTGCCGACGCCGTGGTCTTGTCGTCAAGCGGCTCTCCCGCAATGACTCGAGCTTCCACCTTGGCGTCCCGTTCGGGGGCGACAGCCTTGCGTTGGGAGCCGTGCACGAGGAATAGAGCCAACTTCATGGAAGGCGGCGTGTTGAAAAGTGAGCCATTCATTGTTGCTCAAGCCACCTGCAAGTCGGACCAGTACCTCGAAGCGAGCCTTCAACGATCGTGTACGGGGTTCCTTTACCGAGATCTTGAGCGCCAGCGATACATTGTAGCTACTTGAAGCGCCCAAGGCGTCCACACTGTGGTAGTTTTACACCACACAAAGGTAGTGTGTAGCCGAATCTGTGCGTGACGCTCTTGCTTTTCTTGGATCTCGCACTGCCACGTCACGGACGACGTGCGGTCGAATGACGTTCGCTGCCACTAAGTGGTTTGGAGGTCGGGAGGAACAGGTTCATGGACGATACTCACATGCTCGCAGTTGTTGCATTCAGTGATGACGAGTGTGGCTCGCCTTCCGACCAGCTTTGAAGAACCGCTTCTGTGATCTGCGACTGCGGCGCAATGTACTTCAACGTACGGGACGACGTGGCAGCCGCGTGGCATCGACCTTGAAGCTGCCTACAGCGAAGCTGTGGTCCTCGACCCAACCCCACCAGTTCCATTGTCTACGTTAGAGTACACGGTGGTAGAGTCGAAACCTAGCAAGCACCTGCGCCAACGAATTCAAAGCAGGTCAATGTTAGCTACTCTGACACTGAACACGATGCGAGTATCTGCCCAACTGTCCTGAAGCCTACGTGGTTGCGGTCAGCGTCCGTTCAGCAGAGATACTCCGTGACGTGGCACTGTCAGATCAAGAGTCATCACTTCCTCGCCCATCGTTGGTACAATTGAACCGCATTTCGTGTGACAACAGATCCTAATGTCGTCCGCAGCATCACAATCCCAGTACACTGTACAGTAGCTATCTGTGAAGTTGAAGCTGCGGGTCAAGGAGGGTCGTGGAGAGGGTGATCGCTGAAGCAAGACCACAAATAGAACTGGGATACTTGTGGCCTTGCTTCGCTTCGTCCACTACCACGGAAAATTCGCTTTTGACGAAAGGTTTAGATCCGCGTCCATCAACCATGATTCAAATTGCAATAGCGCTGGCCCTCGTCGACCGATACAGCACCCACTCGAGCCTGTCGCGCGCCCTTTGATGGTCTTTTTTAGGCGCGTCGCGGTCTCGTCGATCGTCGGCAACAATCTGAGATAATTAACCCCTGACGCCACCGGCTTCTTCGCGGCGATGTTCGGGCAAGGATGCCGCTCCCTGCCGAGCTCAAGAGGCCCTCGACGATACGGTCAAGGTGTTGGCGACGAGGCGGGATGCCAAAGTGGAGGCCCAATTGGATCTACTTCCCCTTCAGAGTATGCCGCTTATCATCCGCTGCGAGGCAGAGTCATATTGAGGTGCAACGGCCCAGCTGCCTTTGACGTCTTGGCTTTTTTGGTCTGCAGGGTCAGAGAAATGAAACTCATTGCATTAAGTAAAGAACACTAACGTTATTAGTACACACTAAAATGCGTTGCCCCTGCCCCTCTCACTAGTCTCTATTTAAGAAATGCAACAAACGGAATCAACCCTTTGAATCGATGAGTGGCATTTTGTCTACGCCGCCCACATATCGTCCACAAAGTCAATGTGGCTTGAGAACGGAAACGGCCCGTCAAAGCTCTGGACGATCTGCGTCGCGGTGGACGCCAGTACTGCCGCGTAGTCGAGGGTCTTGTACGCTGCGGCGTTCATGGCGAACGACTGCGGGTGCCACTCGACGTCAAAATCAAACGCCTTGATGCTGTGGAACTTGGTCTGGTACTGCCGAAGCGTCTCGTACGGCATGAAGTAGAAACCGCACTGCGCCGGGTCATTCGGTCGCACGTGCCATGGTCTATATACACAATTAGCCCATTTACGAATCTACAAAACTTCAATTCGAACGCGATAAGCGTCGTGGCTGTTCCCAGCTGCATGGGCGGCAAGCACCAGTCCGTCGCCGCCTGCGTCACGTTGTCGTGGTCCCAGAGGCAAAGCGTTGCCATCGCGTCGCCGCCAAGCGTCACGTTCTTGAGGTACTGGGTAGTGGATCGATTGACGTGGCGGAGCTCTAGCGGGCGAAGGCTCTCGCTGCCGTCAAGGGCTAAACACTCGTCGAGGGTTTTGCACGTGAGCCAGTTGAGCGGACTAGACAGCTTCGATACGACTCTTGTCCACCGACATAAGTTCTTACTTGTAGCTGTTGGGGCACACGCTGAGCTCGTCATCGTACGAAATGGTTTGCGCAAAGTACGCGATCGAGTGCGAGTTGCGCGTCGGGCTGTCGGCCCACGAGTTTTTGAGGATAAAGCCCCCCGTGTGGCCTTCCTGCGTCATGAAGGCGTCGTTGTAGCCGACAACTAGCATCGCATGGCCGCCCGAGAAGGTCATCTCGGGCGAGTGGTAGAACTCGCCTTGCATATTGAGCCCGCTGTTCTTGAGCGTGTCACTCGAGCGGACGCAGCAGACGTGCGGCCAGAGCGATCGCGGACAGGGCGCGCAGGACGGCCCGGTGCTCGGAAGAAAGTGCGGCACCGACACGATCGGCGTCGAGAATGCGAGCACTTTTTGAGTTGACGCGAGCCGCTTCTTGATGCTGAGGTCGTCGTAGAACGAGTGGACGGCCTGCGTCACAGACGATATGGTACGAACACCTCATGGGTATCGAGCCAAGTACCTTGACGCGAAAGCGCAGCGGGTTGTGGGCGAGCGACGCGTTGAAGTCCGGACAGACGTTGTCGTAGCCCGGGAGAACCGTGTACGGACACACGCTGTGCGGAAGGACTTGGCGCTGGAGACCGTTTTCGAGGTAGTAGAGGTTCACAACTTCGCCGCCTTCGGTCGAGTGGTTCCACACCTACACGCACGTGACGAAGACGATTCAGCGGAAGGCGATAAACCTGGTCGCCTGCAATGCGGCAGTTCTTTTGTTGCGGCGAGTTTGCGGGGCCGTCGCAAAGACGCATGACGGAGATGCCGTACGCTTGCTCGGAGAAGGCAACGTACTCGGTGGGTGCCAGCCACCCGCGGCGATGGCCCTCGGCACGGTACGACCATTCGAGGTACCCGATCGAGGCAAAGTCCCAGCACGTCCCGCGACCCATCTGGCTCTTGTACGGTGTTACGTCCGTGGCTGCCCACGCGGGCGGCAGGAGGGCCAAGGGAATCCCGAGCTCGCTGCTACGGTGCGGCTCGGAAGGTGCCGCCCGCGGGAAGAGCGCGAGGCCCAGCAGCACCATCGAAAGGAAGCCGAGGACGTTCACGAGGAGGAGGAGGTGCGAGAGCCGCCATGTGGCTGCCATCGGCGGGCCGCCCGACGTCCCGTACGTCGGCAGCAGCGGCGGGTAGCTCGTGGTTTGCATCTCAAAAATCGAACTGTTGCGATCTTGCATCGTGACCAATCCAGCCAATCCACGTCAAGTTGAAGTATATACACGCATGTGATTGGCTACGAAGAGGTACATGTCCCGCCTGTCTTATCAAACGAAGATTCGAAAATGCCACATCGCAGGCCCAAGGCTTCCGTGGCAGTCAAAGGCAACAACTAAGATCTAAGTTGTCAAGTGTTATGGCTTATATAGCCGTCTTAGACGACGTAGCCTCCATTTGCGCGGATGTTTTGGCCGTTGACCCACGCCGAGTCGGGACCAGCGACGAACGCGACGACGTTGGCAATGTCGTCGGGCTCCCCGAGGCGGCCCGTGGGCGCCAACCGCTTGAACATTTCGATGGTTTCGTCCGACTTGTCCTTGAAGAAGAGCTCCGTGGCCGTCGGACCCGGCGAAACAGTGTTGACAGTGATGCCCCGGCGCCCGAGGTCCTTGGCCAACGTGCGCGAGAGCTGCTCGATAGCGCCTTTGGTCGTCGCGTACAGCGCGTAGTTGGGCATGATTCCGCTAAAGGCCGTGAGCGTCGACGAGATAAAGATGACGCGCCCGCCGTCCGGCAGCTTGGGCGCCGCAATCTGTGTCAGGAAGAGCGGGCCCTTGACGTTGACGTTCATCGAGCGATCAAACGACTCTATCCGAAATACATAAGCTTCCTTCGACAATAGAGTGGCTACCTTCGGTGATCTCGGCGAGGCTGTGGTTGATGAGCACACCGGCGTTGAGGACGAGAATGTCAAGCTGCCCAAACGCAGCAAGCGTCTCGTCGACGAGGTGCTGGCACTGCGCGTAGACCGCCGTGTCGGCGCGGACGTGGATCGCGCGCTGCGACGGGAGCGTGAAGTGCGCCTTGGTGGCTTCGACGGCCGCGACGGCGTCGGCCTCGTTGGCCGCGTAGTTGAGGACGACAGACGCGCCATCTTGCGCCAGCTTGGCGGAGATCGCGCGGCCGATGCCCCGCGACGCACCCGTGACGAGCGCGACCTTGCCTGCGAGCTTGAGCGTCATCTTTTAATTGCGTCGAAACAGCGAAAAAATATAGATCTTCCGAAATCGCGAGTGGCCGGCGAAGATCGTCGGAACTCTGGAATCTGGTTGTGGATCGCCACAAACTCTGGTTGCGGATCAGGTTGCGGATAAGGTTGCAGATCAGGTTGCGGATCAGGTTGCGGATCACATCATCTGCAATGCCACCACATACACTTGATTGCTTTCGAGAAATCTTGTCGCCTCCATTCCCATTATTTACGTTTGTAACAACATCCCTGAAGATCGCCGAATGGACTCCTCGTCCAATCTCCAAAAGCACGAGACGTTGCGTGGACTGGTGGTCGGTGGCGACCGCGTTTGTCTCTTGGGCGCCTGAAACGACTTTGCACTTTCTGTGATGGCGGTTTCGAGTACAGTTGTCGTTTTGGCACCAAGCAGCAATGGCGTCGTCGCGCTACACTCTCGGAGGCGTCCTTGTGAAAGAGAGAGGCATGCCCCGGTACGCACATCTCGCGCGTCTCGGGCGCCAGGCCGTCGTCGTCGGCGTCGGCTTCATCGTCATCTGCCTCGTGGCGTTTGACTCAATCGCCAACAACTGGGCCGTCAACCAGTTTGTCGGGAACGGCTTCCGCTTCCTCTCGCCGATCGCAACCGTCTCGAGCTCGGCGCAGCTCTCGTCGCAGTATTCATTTGCCAAAGGCCTCGGGCTCACCGACCTCTCCAACATTGGAGGCTGGATGATGAACTTTACCGTCGCGGCCTTTGTGAGCAAGAACCCCAACATGTACTTTGTCTCGGCCGGCAGCTACACGCTCGACAACTCGATGAGTCTCTGCGCCATCTTCCAGCGCAAGTACACCGTGGACATTAGCACGTCGCCGTACGTGAAGCTCGGTCTCGCCTCGGACACGGTCTCGTTCATTCGCGGCGACACGGTCAGCCACGCCTTCACCGACGACGCCAGCGCCAACCTTGGCAACGTCTCGATGAGCAGCGCGCAGCTGCGGGCGCTCGGGTACGCGCCGGCGCGCACGATCGTCGACACGCGGCTCACGCGGCCCTTCGCGATCGCCAACAGCTCGGCGCCGCAGAGCTACAACGTCTCGTACTACCGCGTGTTTCCAAAGAGCTTTTGCACCGGGTGCGACCCGATCGCCGAGTTTGGTTTCGGTACGTGCCACCTCACCATGGTCTACAACGACTCGAGCAAGCAACTCACCGTGACGAGCGGCGCCAACATCGTCGGTTCGACATACGACCTCGGGCTCATGCTGCCGTGCACGCCGCTTGTCGTTCTCTCCCAAGTGCTCAAAGTGCTCGCGATCATGTTTGCAATCGCCGGCTACCTCGCGAGCCGGTCGACCGTGCAGTGGTACGAGGTGGACTTGGCCAAGCCCGAGACGCTCGTGTCGCGGCTCGTGCGCACGGTGCTGCCAAAGCACTTTCCGTACGCGTCCCACGCGCTGCGCTTCGACATGTTCTGCTACAACTCGGACATCTTTGTGTTTCTCTACTGCGGCATGGTGCTGCTCGACATCCAGAACGGCCTCATCTTCCTCCGGCACATGAACCTCTACAACGCGCTCGCGCCCCAGTTCAAGTACTCGCTGCAGCTCTTCGCGCTGAGCGTCCGCCTGCTGTGGGGCAACTGCGCGGCCTTCAAGCTGCTCAAGATCACGTTGCACACGCTTGCGCGCTCGACGTACGCGGGCGAGAATCGGCTCATGGAACTTGGCAACCTCTCGGGCGTCACGACGCTGTACCTGAGCGCGATCCTCTTGTTCTACGTGCCGCCGTACTTTGAGTACAGCAACAGCGTCATCGTCGAGCTCAAAAACGGAGTCGAAAAGCTCGACGGGCTGCACGTCGACGTCTTCAACAGCTTTTACGTGCGCAACGCGTCGGCGATCGCGATCGGGCTCGTCGCCAACCTCGGGCTCGTCGTGCTTCTCGACCACAGCGTCCACTACGCGTTCTGGCGGAAACTGCGCGCCCACAGCTTTGCGCGCCAAGCGATCTACAACAGCAGCTCGATCCTCTGCGACTACCTCGATGACATTCAGCAAAAACCGCAGTCGGGCATCTCGCGCATGGTGTGCAAGGCCCGGCGCCTCAGCACCCTCCAGTGGTTCTTCATGACGCACCTCACCCTCTTTGGCCTCCCCGAGAAGGACCTGCGCATCACCAAAAAGCGCGTGACGCAGGCCGCGACCGCAATGACAGGAAGCGCCGCCAGCAGCCAAACTACGATCGACACGCCGTACCTCGTGACGCAGGACGGGTCCTACCAGCTGCATCTTGTCGACGAATCCCTCGTCGACGTCACAGCACTTGTCTACAACATCAAGATCCTCAAAGATACGTCCGTGGTTATCCAGTAATCGAAGAATCCAGTTATCCAAGAATCCAGTTATCCAAGAATCCACATTGGATGAGCTAGCGGGGTGCCTGCAGCGTCGGGTCGTGCGGGAGACGCGTGCGCTCGGGAAAGAAGGTGTACGTCTTGGGGTACTCGAGGAGGTTCTTGAGCCGCGAACTGTACACGTCCACGTAGCTACAGAACCGAATTGGTGTCCGAAGTGTCATCTCGGTCGCCGACCGCTGGGCGGAAAACGCAAACTGCGACGGATGCGACTCGACGCGGAAGACCGAGCCAAAGTTCGGGTTGATCAGCGCTTCCATGCGTTCTTGGAGCAACGAGTGCACTGCAATGTACTCGTTGTAGAGTGCAATGTTCTACACTTGTCATCAATCAAGGAAACGCAAAGAGTTAGCTACCTCGTCGTACTGGTCGTTGTACAGATGACGTTGCATGTGGCGCAAGAGGTCTTCCACGAGTGCGTGCTACGTCCTTCGTCGCCGCAGAAGAAGACGACAAAGTGCATCACCTCGTAGGCCAGCGCCTGGTACGCGTCGCTCGACTGAATCGAAATCTCCGTTTCGAGCTCGCGGATGATGGCGCCGGTGCGCCACCCGAGGATGCGGTTGGGCTCGACCAAGTCGGAAAAGAGACTGTCGCTACACCACAACTACGTTCTGATGCAAGAGAGACCGAGACACACCCAATGTAGAGCACGCGTCGTCCGCCCCAGCCCTTGAGCATGATCAGTTGCCGCAAGCTGCCCTACAACGTCCCTTGTTGCTAGAAACGCCATGTGAGGACCTACTTGGGTGTACACGCAGTTGGGCTCGAGGCGGGTGACCGCTTGCCACTGCACTTGGCGCTGGTCCACGTCAAAGAGCCGAAAGGTACGGTAGCGCGTGTAAAAGTCGGGTTTCTTGGCGCTCACGAGCGTAATTTCGAAAAACTAGACGATCCAATTCGTGAAATTTCACAAATACTGCGAGTACCTTGCGCCAATCGTCGCCCACCATGTACTTGAGCCCGGCGTCAATGTACCGAAACGAGCTGTTGGTCAGCACAAACAGCTTTTCCCCTTCGTCCTATCGCGTATTTTACCGAGGAATATCCGATAGCAGCCGCCTATTACCGTGTAGCGCTCGAGGAGCGTCCGCAGCTTCTTGTTGGGCTCCATGTACTTGGGCAAGTTCTTGACGACAGCCTTGTGCATGCGGCCGCTCGTGTGCACGTCCGCGATCGCTGCGTCCATATCCTACGCAATCTATAGCACCATATCGGTCGCAGGAGCGTACTTCGTGCACGGCGCGTGGCTCAAACGTGATGCTCTTGTCCATAAAGAACTGGATCACGTCCGCAAAGAGGCACGCGTGCGCGACAGAGAAGAGGTCGTTGAGCGGCTTCATCGTCCGGTCGCGGTACAAGATGGGAATGTGGCGGGACCCGTCATAGAGCTGCAGGATCTCGGCCTTGGAGAGGCGCTGCCGCCCACGAAAGACACCTGGTGCCATCATGAGCACACGCGACAAACCACCGGGCTCGACCCGTGTACGACAGCTTTTGGTGCGAGCTGATCTTGCACAGAAGCGCCTTCTCGCTGTCGATCGCGAGGCCGCGTATCGCAAACGACGGGTCGAACTGCAGCGCGAGCAGCCCGTCCGGGTACCGATACCGCTCGACCTGCATGAGCCACGTCAGCGTCCGGTGGGCAGAGACGACATGCGTACAAGCGTGTGCTTGGCCATGTCGTAGATGAGGCGCTGAAGCTCCACCGTGTAGTGGCACAGCGTGTAGTCATAGTCTACGCATGGAACCTTCAGCGACAATGAGACGTAGCAGGCGCACCAAAGCCGACGACGTCGATTTGCTCGAGCCTACGCCGCCAGCATGAGCGACCATGGCGCCGCGTGCGAGGCTACCGGAGCTGGTTGTTGGCAAAGATGTGGCGCGTCGACACGCGGTGCGTGTGGTCGGCGCGGAAGCCGCCCTTCTTGCGCTACAGCAGGATCGCGTGACCCACGCCGACCGCGACGCGTCGCACCTCAAACTCGTCCACGGCCGCGCGGATGCCAGGGCTCACGCCGCCCATGGTCGAGAGGCTTCGGCCGCGCGCCGTCCAGCGCGTCGTTGCCAGGCGCAGCAGCATTAAATCTTCTTGGCTCGTTTGCACAACCTCGCGACGTGGGCTGGAGCTTTTTCGCGTGTTTTGATTGGATGAAATTCCGTCGAGAAATCCAGCCAGTGGGAATCCAGCGTTCCAGTCCACGGCCAATCGAACGCGACCAACCCCAGGAAATGACAATGTTGCACAAATTGATGTACAAAAGTGTGCTGCTATGCAAGTTAAAGTGCTAGTCAGGTTATATGCCAAAGGGCTAGTCGGTGCGCTTCTTGGGCTTGGCCTTGTTGGCGTCGTTGGAGAGAAGCTTGGCGACCTCGAGCCCGGACGTGAACGCCGAGTTGAACATGACGCGCTGCTGGAAGGCGGCGAGGAAGGGCATGAACATGGCGATGAAGAGGATCGGGCCAAAGACGATCCAGCCGATCGCGACGTCGAACGCGCCGGCCATCGTCTCGATGATGACGTGCGTGTACTTGAGGCGGCCGAGCATGACCTGGAGGAACCAGTAGGCGAGGATGCCGAGCACGAGGACGCCTTCGAGGATGTCCGACATGTCGATGAAGAAGAGCAGCACAAACACAAAGCCCGTGAGCGCCAGCATGCTCAGGTCAAACTTGAACCGGCGCAACCGCTTCTGCTTGAACGTCTTGTTCCAGCGCTTCGTCACGCGGTTGGCCACGTAGCCGCAGCAGACAAGCACCAAGAGCGTGACGAAGAAGGCGCCGAGGATGATGTAGGGCGTGAGGAGCGCGAGCGTCGAGCTCGTCTTGGCGTCCGTCGCGACCGACTCGTTGCGGCTGGCGTAGACCACGCGGTACATGAGGTGCAGGTAGATGCCGATCGCGAGGAAGAGGAAGCGCGTCTTGCGGACGACAAACACGAATCGCGCAAACGGCGTCGAGTGCTCGAGCGCCGAGACCTCGGACGTCCACCAGCCGAGCCAGCTCTGGCTCGAGTCGTTCTTCGTCTGGAGCCAGTTTTGCCAGTCGCGGTAGTCCTCAATGACCTTGTCCCAGTCGAGGCCGCTCGGGTTGAAGATGAACGGCGACCAGAGCCACGTGGCGGCGACGAGCCAGAGCGAGTAGCTCATGATGCCGTAGCTCTGCTCGGTCGGCGCGACGCACTCTTGGTAGTGCGACGCAAAGCAGCGCTTGGTCCACTCGGCCGGCAGCGGCTGCGTGCCCTTGTAGTAGCTCATGTCGAGCGTCCACGAGCAGTTGCACCACGAAAACGTGCCGTAGCTGTGCCAGATGAGCAGCAGCGCAATGAGCTCGACGCCGCGGTAGAAGTGGCTGAACGCGTAGAACCGGAAGAGCTCGGCGAACTTCTCGTGCTTGATCGTGAAGCCGCGCCCGGTCGCGCGGTACTTGGCGCCGCCGTGGATGAGCGTCCGGTCAAAGTAGTGCATGCGGTTGCCCATTTGGAACGTAAAGAAGAGCGGCCCGAGCGTCATGATGTTCCAGAGGAGGTAGCTGATGCCGTGCCGGAAGCCGCGCTCGACGCCGACGACCGCAATAACCGGCACGACCAAGAGGAAGCCAAACTGCAGCGCCCACGACGTGTTGAGGACGCCCGAGATGCCCATGCGGCCCGTCTCGAGGTAGAACTTGTCCATGCCCGAGAGGCAAAAGTACATCTTGCCGTAGATGAACGCGTAGATCGCAAACACCGTCATCGTCTGCGTGAAGTACCAGCCGAGGTTGCCGTAGAACCACGACTGGAGCCGGAAGAAATCGAGGCGGCTCGCCATGCGCATCGCGTCGCGGGACGTGACGCACTCGCCGGCGCCCGACGAGAGCTTGGCCTCGAAGAGCGCGAGCTGCTGCATGCCGACATCGCGGCCCTTGCCCACTTGGATGAACTCTTCGTGCGTGACGCGGCCGCCGCGGAGCGTCGAGTTGAAGCCGGCGAAAATGTCTTCCGAGAGGTTGATGCCCTTGGACGACTTGGCCGTGCCGCCCGTCGTCATCGCAAACATCTTGTCGAAGACATCCGGGTGGCCGTAGTGCTGCCGCACGTGGAACATGGCGAGCATGCGCTGGCCGAGCGAGACGAACGAGAGCTCTTGGATCTGCATAAAGTTGGCCAAATTCGAGACGCCGCCCGTGAAGACGTACTCGCGGAAGCCAATGATCGTCACGGGCGCCTTGGGGCTGTGCTTGGCGTCGTCGACCGTCGCGAGGAGGTTGGGCATCTTGAGGCACTCCTCAAAGTACCCGTCTTGGTTCATGTCGATGGCCTGGACAAACTCGCCGCGCGTGAAGATCACCGCGTGGTTCTGGTTCTCCGGCTTGCCCTCGCCGATGATCGGGTTGCCCGGCAGCTGCACGCGGTACACCTCGACGATGAGGTCGCCGACCGCACGGAGGAGCACGGACGCGTACGTGACCGGTCCGTCGACGCCCGCCTTGGTCTTGTCGACGTAGGCGACGCGGAAGCCCGGGTGCCGCTTGAGGAGCACGTCGATGTCGAGCGCTTGCGGCAGCCGCGCGGCCTTTTGCTGGCCGTAGATCTGGCACGTGCACACGTAGCTGAACTTGAGCGCGACCATCTCGTCGAGGTAGATGCAGCGGTTGCAGCGGCAGCCGCGCACGTGCATGGGCGCGTTCTCGCCCACCTCGAGCCACGCGAGGAACCGGATCGCGTCTTCGTGGTACATCATGCCGCGCACCGTGCGCGCGAGTGTCTGGCCGCGGTACGATGCCCAGAGCTGGACCTCCTCCGGGCACTTGGTGAGCGCGTCTGCCGTGTCAACTGCGTGGACGCGCTCGAGGAACGCCGTCCACTCGACCGGGTGGATCGTCTGGAGGTAGTAGAGCAGCCGGATGCTGTCGTCGTTCTCGGCCGTGAGCTCGTCCACCGAGTACAAGACGATCTCGTTAAAGTACGGCGTCGCGATCGAGAACGAGTGCATCTGCTCGATGGGCTTGGCCTCGGGCATGGCCATGAAGAGCGAGTTGGCGAAGAAGCGCAGGCGGCGCTGGCCCTCGGGCGACCGCGGCTCCGCGTCCACGTTGTCGACCGTGAGCAGCTGGTACGCGCGCGACACAATGTCCATGGCGGCTTCGTCGTGCAGGAGCGACGAGAGCTGCTCGCGCGGGTACTCGCCCGAAGCGGTCATGAACGACCCGGCCTTGCCGCTGAGAAGCTCCACGAGGTGCTCCTGCTTGCGCACGACCTTCTTGAAGAGCGCAAAGAGGCTTTGGAGGAGCTCGAGGATCTTGGGCAGGCCCCGGTCGACGGCCTCGGGCGACGTCTTGGCCTTGGCCGCCGTCGTCTGGATCCCGCGCATGAGCTGCGCGCACGTGGAGCGCACGGCGTGGAGCTCCGAGAGCTCGAGGCCCTTGAGCACGTTCTGCGTCAAAACCGTCTCTTCGACAAACGCGAAGACGCTGTGGAGCTCCGGGTGGCGGTCGCCAATGAGCAGCTTGAGGACCTTGGACGTAAAGATGTACGAGCCAAAGATGGCCTGGAGCCGCAGCGGGTCCTTGCTCAGGCGCGCGATCATCGACGCCTGCACCTTGTCGAGCGCCTTGGTCTTCTTCTTGTCCTTCTCGAGCTTGGCAAAGACGGCCGCGCACTCGAGCACGATGCTGATGCTTTCGTCCAGCTTGCCGGCGGTGAGGAACACGGGCGTATAGAGCCGCTGCGCGTCAATGAGGTAGCTGAGCACGCTCAGCTCGCGGTTGCTGAGCACGTCGGCCTCGCGCATCGAGACGAGGCACTGGTTCCACGCCATCGCAAACGGAATCGAGCGCTCGTACGCGGCGCCCGTGAGCCCGAAGACCGCATCCAGCGCCTTGACCGACCCGTTCGAGGACGACGACGTCGACGACTCGCGCTCCAGGCGTTCGTCCAGCGGCACGTCGTCCACCGAGAGCACTTCGGTCGCGCGGTCGCTCAGCACATCCTGCTCCAATAGCGCGCTGTAGGCGTGCGTCGCGATCGTGAGCGGGGACGACCCGTTGGCGTCCATGGTCTTGAAGTGGCGCTCGGGGCCCGGCCCGTCGGCGTCCGAGCGCATCGCTTGCTTCTTGGTCTTCTTGGCCTTCTTGTCCTTGGGCGGCTCGAGCAGGTTTGGCACCATCTTGCGGTTGAAGACCTTGGGGATCGACCCAAAGGCCGCGCGGAGCACCGAGAAGGACCGGAGCTCGCCGATCTTGAGGTTGAAGCCAGCGACGGACCCGTAGAGGACCGAGAAGATGGCGTAGAAGATCTGCGCGTCGTAGAGGAAGACAAGGAACGCCGGGGCCCAGAGGAAGGCGATGTACAAAACGTTGTAGATCGGCACCTGCAGCATGAAATACGACACCTTCAGGTACTCGGTCGGGTCCGAGACGTAGATGAAGAGCGACGTCTCGACGAGGCTCTTGACCATGAAGCGGTAGTCGAAGAGGAGCTTGATGCTGAAGAGGAAGACCCAAAAGCACGTGTAGCGACACTCGACGCGCAGCGGCACGTACAGCGACCGCCCGACAAAGCCGATGCCGATCCGCGAGAAGAGCCGGTTGAAGAGCTGCCACACGATCAAGAGCCCGATGCAGCCGCCGCTCGCGAGCAGCATGAGCGGGCCCATGTCCTTGCGCTCAAAGTCGAGCAGCTGCTGGCCAAACTGCGGGATCGCGCCGAGAACGGTCGTGAGCGACCACTGGCACGCGGCGCAGTTGAGCTGCCCGTCGCCGCGCAGCAAGATCGCGTTCATCGCGGCCTTGCGCCACTTGGGCAAGCAGTTCTTGTTGTCGTAGACGATGACCGACTTTTCGCTCGCGAGCGTCGCGTCGGTGCCGTCGGCGTACACGGTCGCCTTGCCCTTCTGCGCAAAGCACGCATCGAGGAGGTCCATGTAGCACGTGCAGCGCCCCGACGTCAGGTCGAGGCAGCGCGTGAAGGCCACGTCGCTCATGAGACTGCGAAAGTCCGGCGGCAGCGTCCCGAACGTCGTCTCGGTGATGAGCTCAATGCCGAGGCAGGTCGCGAGCTTGGGCACGTTGCACTTGGTCTCTGTCATGTCGGCGCCCGCGTCCATAAAGTAGCTGCGCTCGTCCGAGTTGTCGAGACCGGGCTTGGCGGAGGCGTAGAGCTTCCCAAAGGCCGACGCGTTCCGGAGGACGTTCTCCGTGTACATGATCGGGTTGTCCGGGCAGAGAAGCACCATGTTGAGCGCAAACGTCACGGTCGCCAGAAAGAGGAGGATGTTGGTGAGGAAGATGCGCCGGAACGAGACCAGCGCGCGCAGCCACGACCGGCGCTCGAGGAACGTCTTGGTCACGACGTTCGGGCGGCCTTTCTTGTCGACGCTGGCCACGGCTTCCGCGATCGTTGCAGGCGCGTACTTGAGGCATTTCTTCGTCCAGAAGAACTCGTTGACGTCGTCGTAGTTGCGGATCTCCGTGTGCGGCGCCCGCGCGCCCAACGGCGTCTTCTTGTCGCCTTCCTTGGCGAGCTCGAGGTAGAGGGGCGTGATGCACGCCTCCAGAAACGGCGCCTCGGCGTGGTCGCGACGGACGTCTTGGACGAGGTGGTGGAAGAGCCAGCAGAGCAGCTCGGGCGTTTGGCGAAAGTTGCTTGCCTCGCCCCACATGAGGAAGAAGAGCACAATGTCCACAAGCGGCGACGACGACGTCCGCGGCTTCTCGCCCACAAAGCCGCACCACTTGGTGTAGTTGCCAAAGAGCCGCGTGTGGAACTTGGCGGCCGCGGCCTCGACGGTCGCCGGCTCGTCGGGCGTGCTCAGGTGCGCACAAAAGTTGGTCAGCAGCAGCGTCACGTGCTCCTTTTGGTTGGCGACGCTGCTCTCCTGGAAGCCAAAGGCCGCCTGGAGCGCCTCAAAGACATCGCGGCCCTCAAACCCGGGGCACCTACGACCATGTCCACGTGAGCCATAGAATGCAAGACTCATGGGACGTACGTGGTGTAGGCAGCGTGGACGCTCTGGAAGCGAGGTGGCAGCGCGCGCATGTCGAGGATGTTGACATCAAAGTGCGTGCCCCGGTTCGTCGGCGACGAGAGCATGCGCAGGTACGCATCCATCTTGGCGGCGAGCGGCGCGGCGGCGTGCTTCTCGGGAAGGCGGTCGAAGCGCAAGCTCACGGCCTGCTCAAAGACAGCGCGGGCGCGCGCAAAGCTGGCGTCCGCGGCGGCGTGGTCGCCAGTGGCCTGCGCGGCCATGGCTTCGTGGAGAAGGCCGACGCCTTCGTCATGGAGCGTGCGCTGCCGTCCAAGTCCGTCCATCGGGCGTGTCGTCACCGCAGGATTCGAAAGTGAAGCAGCCGGATCTTGCCAATATTTTGTTCGATCGCCACAGTGAGAGAGTACAAGGACGTCTTCTCTCTTGGTTTTTGTATAGGAGAGTGCACTCGTGAGGAGAGCCAGCAGCCAAATGACCAAGATCGTCCGCCACACGACCGTATCATGGCTCATTTCGTCTCTGCTTTTGCGCAAATGATGCCACTGAATCTCTCCTTCGGTGCACCAGTCAGCACTCGAGTTTATCTCAGTGCAGAGCCAAGACCAGAGCCAAGGCTGGGGCCAAGACCAGAGCCAAGGCTGGGGCCACGAGGGGCAGCCGGCTCTTGGTGTCGCCCCGCTGTATCCGAACGTCCGGATAAAAGACCTCGGCCTGCTGCTGTCCACGAGCTCGTGTCGTCGGGTTGTGCTTGCAACTTGCGATTCGTGCAAATACTGAATGCTTAGATAACTTATAGTTAAAAAGTGTAGAGGAAGGCGATGGCAGTGAGGAAGAGGACCGTCATGCGCAGGGTTGAGGTCGATCCGGCGCTGTTTTGGATGATTTCGACGGTCGAGTTGTAGCCCTTGCAGCGAATCTTGTTGGCTTCGCGCTGGATCGAGTCGCGCAGTTTGATCACTTGGACAAACTCAGTTGCGAGCGGCGACAGCTTGCCCTTCTCGACGATGCCAGAGATCGTGTTGTTGAGCTCTTCGGCCAAGAGCCGGTCCGAGAGGACGTTGTGGATGTTGCTAAAGTACTGCGGCACGGACTTTGCGAGCGCGTCGCACTGCTGGAAGAGCGGCATTGAGAAGCAAATGTCGTTGATCGTCGCGAGGTGCGTGTCGGTCGTGAGCCCATTCGCGCAGTCGCCGACGGGCTTGCCCCACTCCATTGCCTCCGAGAGCTTGGACCGGAGGTACGACGCTTGCGCCGGCGTCACGGATGCGTTCTTAAAGAGAAGACCTTCGAGGTACAGGTCGGCGTTGCGGCCGGCCGAGTTGACCATGTCGGTCACTTGATCGTTGGCGCGGTTGCACTCGGACTGCGCCTCAAGGTCGTTGCACGAGCTGCGTCGGTAGTCGCTTTTGCTCGAGCAGGCGGGGAAGCTGCACTGCGGCGGGCAGTAGCAGCGGGCGTCAACGAGCGCCGCGAGCAGAGCCAACACGAACAGCAGTGCGACCATCGGGAGGTAAAAGGTAAAGTGACGTCGTCGATCTGCGTGCAGGTTTTCTGGCTGAATCGCAAGAATGATGGTCGGTAATGACAACTCACGCAACAACCGAACGTTGAACTTGTGACCTCCAAATTTGTGTCGACGTGCGATCCACCGTGATCGCTGGCGGCCACTGAGAAGCAGAGATGGGCAGCGGAAGCAATCAGAACTTATAGAACCAATAAGACACTAGACAAGCAATGCTAGCATCGTGACGGCGACGAAGGACAAGGGGCTGGTCCAAGCGGACGACGGGCGAAGCAGAATCTCAGTGGTCGCGTTGTAGCCCTTGCAGCGAATCTTGTTCGACTCGCGCGCGATCGAGGAGCGCACCTTCATCACCTGAACTAACTCGGTGGCAAGCGTCGTCAGCTTGCCTTTCTCAAGAATGCCCGACACGGAGCTGTTGAGCAGTCGCTCCGAGAGTACGTTGTGGATGTTGTTAAAGTACTGCGGCACAGACTTTGCGAGTGTGTCGCACTGCTGGAAGAGCGGTATTGAGAAGCAAATGTCGACGGCGTTGGCGAGGTGGGTGCTCGTGGTGAGCCCGTCGGAGCAGTCGCCGACGGGCTTGCCCCACTCGAAAGCTTCCGAGAGCTTGGAGCGGAGGTACGACGTTTGCGATGGCGTCACAGATGCGTTCTTGAAGAGAAGACCTTCGAGGTAGAGGTCGGCGTTGCGGCCGGCCGAGTTGACCATGTCAGTCACTTGGTCATTCGCGCGGTTGCACTCGGACTGCGCTTCAAGGTCATTGCACGCGGCAGGGACTCCGCAATAGCATCGGCCGAGCACAGCCGTCGCCAGGTAGAGACTCGAGAGAAGAACGAGTCGCCGTGCCATAGTCAACCGATAAATGTGTTGACGAGCAAGCGCTGTTGGTGAAGCTACTTGTCGAGCGGACGACAGAGTGCGTTCGTTGATGTTCGATCGCTCAGGTCCCCTGTACCTAACAACTCTGCGTGGGCTACAAGCCAGGGACTTGTAGATTCGTTTTGCCAGCGCACATAGACTCGAGGCTCTTCATCACGGATTGCTGCAGGATCGTCAGACATCGTTCGACGCGCCGACCATCACTCTGGTACCATCTGGCGAGAAATTCAACAACGACAACGAATCGCACATCTGGTACGAATCTGCTCAATCATTTTGGCATTTCGACCAGTTACCAGAATGCCGTCACCGCTGTTCTGGACGCTGCTGCTTCTAGTAGTCGCTCTCGTTGATGCCCGGTGCTTTTGCCCGCCAATCTGCAGCTTCCCACCCTGCGGGTCGTCGGTCAGCGGCTACGAGCGCAGTTCGTGCAACGACCTTGAGGCGCAGTCCGAGTGCAACCGCGCCAACGCCATGGTCACGGACATGGTCAACTCGGCTGGCATCAACGCCGACAACTTTCTCAAAGGGATCTTGCTCCGCAACGCGACAGTCTCGGCGCTGCAAGCCTCGTACCTCCGGTCCATGCTCTCGGAAGCCTTCGAGTGGGGCAAGCCCATCGGCGATTGCTCCGACGGTCTCGCGACCAACACGCACCTCGCCAGCGTCAACGACATTTGCTTCTCGGTGCCGCTCTTCCAGCAGTGCGACGCGCTCGCCAAGTCCGTGCCGCAGTACTTTAGCAACATCCACAACGTCCTCGCCGACCGGCTGCTCGCAGACGGCGCCAACAGCTCTGTGCCTGGCATCGTCGAGCAAGGCAAGCTCACAGCGGTTGCGACCGAGCTCGTCGCGGCCGTGAAGAACCGAGATACGATCGCGCGCGAGTCCAACAAGATCCGCTGTCAAGGGTACAACTCGACCGTCGACGTCATCCGCAAATCTAGCTCCACCGTCATAACCCTTTCTCTCGTCACAGCCACGTTTGCCGTCATGACTATGTATTAATCTGTAATCCTACACATAAAACCATCTTTCGGCAAAGCACCAAGACTAGGGTTGGGGTTAATGACACTCGACAACAACTACGCGTGTAGGTATAGGTACAACTACGTGTGTAGGTACAGAGAGACGTACGTCCAGCGACAACTATGATTGTCAATAGATCCAACCTAGCGTGCTGGTTGATTGTGCAAGATACGAGACACTGGGTACTACAATGGCGTCGAATCTCCGAGCAACGACAAGCAAACGTGGCAGAATGAGCGTCCTGCATGTTCATTCACGATGGTAGATCTGGTACAGAGCGACGCGTAGAGCCACAACCCGCCGGCTTGCATCCCGTCGTTCGAAGCGCATTTCAGCTTTTGCTTCCACCTTGAAATGCCACCGCTTCGCTTTGTCGTGACGCTGCTCGCGTGCTGGGTGGCCCTCGGCGACGCGCGGTGCTACTGTGCGCTCTACTACTTTTCGGACAAGGACGAATACCGCCAGACGCCGTGCAACGACCTTGAGGCGCAGTCCGAGTGCAACCGCGCCAATGATCAAGTGACCGACATGGTCAACTCGGCCGGCCGCAACGCCGACCTGTACCTCGAGGGGCTTGTCTTTAAGAACGCATCCGTGACGCCGGCGCAAGCGTCGTACCTCCGGTCCAAGCTCTCGGAGGCCATGGAGTGGGGCAAGCCCGTCGGCGACTGCGCGAATGGGCTCACAACCGAGACGCGGCTCGTCAACACCGACTACATCTGCGTGTCCATGCCGCTCTTCCAGCAGTGCGACACGCTCGCAAAGTCCGTGCCGCAGTACTTTAGCAACATCCACAACGTCCTCGCCGAGCGACTGCTTCTCGAGAACGTGACGGGCATTCTCGAGCAAGGCAAGCTGTCGGCGCTCGCCACCGAGTTTGTCCAAGTGGTCAAGACCCGCGACTCGATCCAGCGTGAGTCCAACAAGATTCGCTGCCAGGGCTACAACGCGACCGTCGCGATTCTTCGCAAGTCGGCGGCGCCTGAGATTTCCATGGGCCCCGCAGCGCTCTTATCTGCTGTCTTGGCAGCATTCGTGTCGATGCATTAGCCCGTAACTCTAAACATGCTCATTTTGTCTTTAACGAAGCCTGGTCCTACAGTCAACTTGTACGATTAAAGAGTACACCCGTACACAACGACTCGAGAGATGTCAGTCGCCTCCTCGTAGAGTTGGTGACAGAGGTGTATCACGCAATGGGCTACCAGTGGCACAACTTCCTAGAATATGTGATTGCTTGTGTCTGCCTGCCTGCTTGTTGAGAGCTCCAGCGGGCGACCGCTCATTGCACCTGCATGTCAGCAGCCATGATGTATGGCCGTCGTTTGAGAAACATGACAGCGTCGTCCACGCCAAGCTGACCATGCGCTAGACGACAAAACGAGCACGAAGAGTAGAACGATGCCCTTGTTGACCGGACGAATGGTTAAAGGGCTCGCCATGTCTAGGGTAACATTTAGAAGGCAGCACGCGTAAAGGCCTTCTCGACGTTGGGCACAGCACGGGTCGCGCTCGTAGCGTGGGCGATCGTGCGCTTGAAGGCGACCGACCTGGTGAGAGAAGAGGAATGAGGTCGGGGGCGTGAGTAGAAACGACGTACTTGGCGACCTTGGTGATCGAGACCGTCGGCTCGGCGATCTTGAACGCATGCACGGGGAGGCCCTTGATGAGCTTCGGGGCCGCGGCGAAGAGCGACGACGCGCGGAACTTGTTGCAGACGATGCGGACCATGCTGACGATTTCTTGACTGCCACCACAAAAGCCCCGGCCTCGGCGTCGCAAGGCCATTGGCCAAAATGCAAGAAACAACGCAAGGCCATTGGCCAGCCCGGTGCATAAAAGGCCCACCCAACCGCCAAACTTATTTTTGCGTCGAATTTGGATTTCGGCGACCGACGGCAGCAATGGCAGACCTCTTGAAGACGATCTGGGGCACGGGGCAGTCGCGCGCCTTCAAGTACGACGCCCGAGGCTGCTGCCACGGGTTGCTCATGCACATTGGCTAGGGTGGGCTCGTGGGCGGCGGCGGCGGGCCTTGCCGTGGGCTGGTACCTCTACGACAAGAACAAGGAAGCGTCCTTCTCGACGACCGACGCCGACGCGTGGAACAAGGAGATCCTTGCCAAGAAGCAGCAGCAGGCCAAGGACGCGGCCAAGTAAGATGCATCTCTGTCAATGGAAACAAAGTGTAGTGTGAGATTTCGTGTTGACGTTGACGGCAACGTCGTCTACTTCATCTGAATGTACCCGCGGACATGCGCCGCGAACGCGTAGACCTGCGACTTGAACGCTGCACGGAGCTTGCGCGTGGCGCCGACCGAGTCGCCCTCGACGACGTGCTGGCTGAGCTGGCTAAAGGCCGCCATGACCTGCTCCCGCAGCTCGGGGCCCATCTCGTTGGCCGCGCAAAAGTCGGTGGCGATTTGAAAAAACTGACCGCGCAACAAGAGCAGCAGCGGGTAGAGCGCGACGGCGCAGCCATCGAGGACGCTACTGGCGCAGCTCTCGAAGACGAGCATGCGGAAGATGCCGTTGACAAAGGTCACAAAGAGCCCGGCGGTCGGCGTCGGGTGCTTGTAGTGGTACGACGCGAGCTCGCCGACCGCCTGGAAGCTATAGCGCACGATCTCGGGCGCCGTGTGCTGCATGCCGACAACGAGCGACTGGAGGAGCATGTCGAGAAGCGCCGGCGAGAGGAGCAAGAGCTTCTCCGGGTAGACGTCGACGAGGTACGAGACGAGCGTAAAGTACTGCAGACTCAGTCGCGGGTACTGCAGCAAGGCCGCCGTCATGAGCGGAATCACTTGGTGGAGGCCCGCAAACACCACTTCCGCCACGATCGTCGCCTAGCACAAATTTGTGAATTCCAATCATAAAATACACGTTTACCGAAGTCGAGGTCGTCGTGTCGGCAAAATCAATCACGTCCTTGGAGACCAAGTGGCTGAGCAGCGTGAGCAGCATGAGCACGTCTTCAAAGTTCTCCTCCTCGGCGTTGGCGCTGTGCGTCGACGCGCCTTGGTTGTAGCGGCAGTACGCGCGAATGAGTTCGTGGCACCCGTTGTAGACGCAGAGCGCGTCACTTGCCTCGACGTACGCGAGGTTGGCCTCGACAAAGTCGCACGCAAACTTGAGCACCAATGCGACGAGGACAGCGACGCCATGGTACGTGTGGAGCAGCTGCACAACGACCGGAACGAAGGGCAGCACGATCTGCGTGATGTAGCCGTGACTGCGGCTCTCGGTTGCCCGCGCGACGCCCGAGAGCATCTCCAAGAGCAGCTCGACCTGGACTTCGTGGGCCGTGTTGGGCTTGGCCGTCGCCGCGAGGCTCTGGAGGGCATCGAGCCACGGTGCTGTGAGCGGCTTGAGACTGCCAGCCGACGACGGCGACACGACAAGGATGCGCACGAGCGCTTCGACGACAGTGCCGCGGCTTTGCGACGGGAGGCGACGCAGCGTCGGATCGGTCGGTGTAAACGCCGCACGAACAAGCCCCTCAAAGGGCGGCGAGCTCAGCGCGTGCGCCGCGGCCGTTGTACTCGGAAACGTCAATAGGTTCTCGACCACGTTGGCCACTACGTGCGGCTGCGACGGCCACGAGGTGAGGTACACGGCCGCGGTCTGGAGCAGCACTTGCACGACCGACGCCGGCGGAAACGCAGCAGCAACCGCCGTCGCGTCGCGGCAGAAGTACGTCATGCTCACGCGCGTGAGCGTCTGGAGGAGCTGCTCCGAGAGGAACGGGCTTAGCGCGGGCGACGCCGGCTGGCGCTCAACGTGGGCTGTCTCGTCCATGACGAGTTGCAGCAGCTGCCCGAGAACGTCGGTGACGAGCGGTGCGACGCCGGCGTAGCACGTGGGCATCTCGGGCGTCTCGCCATGGTAGTCGTCGGCGAGGACGATGCCGGCAAAGAGCACGAGGAAATGCAGCCGCTCGAGGAGCTGGCTGTACGCGGCGTTGGCGACGTCGGGCTGCGGAAACCGCGCGCGCTCGGCAATCGCATCCGTCTACCAGAACCAAAACGACAGCATGAGTCAATGACGCAGAGATCGGAGCGTACGAGGAGGGTGCGAAGGAGCGTGAGGGTCTGCGTCGGCTGAAGCCGGGCGAGCGCCGAGACGAGCTCGACCTGCTCGACGACGGTCTTGCTCACCTGCTCTTCCATATCGTCGAGCTCGTCTTCGTCGGCGTCGAGGCCGCACATGCGAAGGCGCAGCTGCAAGTAGAGCGAGACGACCGACGTGGTCGCGTCATGGAGGCTCGGGTGCGTGTCACCGCACTGTCGAATGACGATGCTCCACGCGTCCATGAGCACGTCGAGACCTTCCATCTCCCAGAGGTCCGACGCCGTCAACGTTTCGCCCGCGTCGGCGATCGCGAGCTGCAGCAAGGTGCAGCTGAGACGCGTGCTCGCTTCAATGAGAGGCGCCGCCATCTCGGTTGTCTTGAGGCAGCCCCAGTTGCTGCAGATGCGCAGCGTCAGCTGACACAGATCAATGACCTCGGCTTCCTTCGTCGCGCTACCGAGGTGGTTCTCCAAGAGGCTGAGCGCGCGACCAAAAAAGCTCTGGAGGTATCCGAGGTGCTCGGCCGTCGACGCAAAGAAGCCGCCCGAGAGCGACGCCAGCTGCAAAATGAACTGGCGGATCGCGTGCCGGAGGTTGGCTTCGTTCGGGTACTGTGTGTAGCTCTGCTGCATCGCGTGCAGCAAGGTCTCTGGCTGCAGAAGTAGCGGCTTCCAGTGGTCGTTGGGCAGTACGATCAAGCACGACGAGGTGCTCTGGGGGCCGTCGCTTGTGATCTCGTGCCAGCTGAGGACCTCAACGCAGAGAAGATACGCGTGGTGGAGCACCTCTGGCGCGAGTGGTTGCTGGATGAGCGAGAGCGCCAGCGCCAGAATGTCGCGAAGCCCGTCGTCCTCGAGCGCCCGGCGACACGCTTGGTGGAACGCCAGCGGCTGGCCCATCGCCGACGCCTTCTTGTCCGAGCCGCCCGTCATCTCCGAGACAAACGCGAGAAGGAGCTTGGTCGCAATGAGGTTGGCCTGCGGCACGTCCGTCGACTGGTACAGGCCTGCAATGTTGGTGAGGAGCTGGCGCCGGTCGGGTGCGGGCTGCGCGAGCCAGTTGCGCTTCATCAAAACGGCCGTCGTCACGAGGAGCGGCGTCGCCACGAACGGTGGCAGCTGCGCGTAGGCACTGCAGGCGTGCTGCAGCAAGAAGTGGATGGCCTCCGAACGCTCGGCGGGCGAGACGCGGTCCAAGAGGCTGAGCTCGCGCAGCGTTGTGAGCGCGTGGAACTGGGCGAGGGGCACGCTGCTGTGCGTGAGCAGGTGGAGGGCGTCGGCGCGCGCGTTAGGGCTCTGTTTGAAGGCCATGAGGACCTCCTCCGCGGCCTGGCGCTCGGCCGACGACGTGCTCGCGGCAAAGGCCGCGCAGGCTCGCTCGACGACGTCCATGGCACGGATTGGTCCAAAGTCCACAATTGCATTTCGGCCAATCACAACCTTCACTTGAAGACCAGTGAAACAGCAGCGATGGCCTTGGGCAGCAACAATGGCATCACGCCCCCGATCTCGCTGGTGCGACGCGCTTCGCCGCCCGCCGCTCACGCTTCGCGTAGGCGCCTCCGACGTCCTTCGACCACCAGCTCACGGCCGCGCTCGTCGATACGCTGAAGTACGTTTTACCTGCCACGAGCGGCGACAACCAGCATGCCATGTAGGCAATGGAACCTGCACGAGAGCGAGGATGGTGGCCGCCAGCGTGAGAAGGCGCTGAATATCGTTCGGGCGCTCGTCGAAGAGTGGGCGACCGCCGAAGCGGCCAAGCTGGGCGTGACGCTGGACGAGCCGGCGATGGGCTTCTCGCAGATCCGCACCTTTGGCTCGTACCGCCTTGGCGTCCATAGCCCCGAGGCGGACATTGACACGCTCTGCCTCATGCCACGGCACTGCTTGCGCACGAGCTTCTTCCAGACGTTTCCGTCGCGCCTCCAAGAGCATCCCGAGGTCGCGTCCGTGCAGAGCGTTCCGGACGCGTACGTGCCCGTGATCAAGTTCAAGCTCTCGGGCATCTCAATCGACCTGCTCTTTGCGACGCTCAACGTCGCCGCCGTACCTGTCGACATTGACGTACTTGACATCAAGTACCTCGTGGACGTCGACGAGCCGGGCGTCCGTAGCTTGAACGGCTGCCGCGTCGCCGAGATGATACTGCAGCTCGTGCCCAACATTGAGCAGTTCCGCATCACGCTCGTTGCTGTCAAGCACTGGGCCCGGGTACACTTCTGCCCATCTCTGCCATAGGCTTAGGAGAGGCTAGATGCGCGGCATCTACTCGAACGTGCTCGGGTTCCTCGGTGGCGTCAACTGGGCGATCCTCGTCGCGCGCGTCTGCCAGCTGTACCCGCAGTCGCTCGCGGGTCTCTCTTCGCGCATACTGCCACGTGTTCTGACTGCAGCTAGGCACGCTCGTGACCAAGTTCTTCCGCGTCTACCACCAGTGGACGTGGCCCAACCCGATCCTGCTCAACCGCATCGACGAATCGCTGGGCGATCTGAGCATTCCCGTGCGCTGTGTTCCACCACCTCTTCCGAGTGCTATTCGTAATACGCTCACGTTCAACTAGACGTGGAACCCGAAGCTCAACCCGCGGGACCGGTCCCATCTCATGCCGATCATCACACCAGCGTACCCCGCGATGAACTCGTCCTACAACGTGCTCGAGTCGACGCTCGCAATGATGAAATCCGAGTTTCGGTCGGCCGCGGCCACGTGCGTCGACATTGAAATCCAGGTGCCGTCGCCGGCATCGAACCCGCGACCACGTTGCCCTGTAGAGTGTGCCATGGGAAGACCTCTTCGAAGACTCGAGCTTCTTCAAGCGGTGTGCCCTTCGCATCGCGTAGAGGGTACGAAGACGGTCTGTGTAGATGGGACCACTTTTTGCAGCTCGACGTGCTGGCCGCGACCCCGTCGTTTCCTGCGTGGTTTGGCTGGGTCGAGTCCCGCCTGCGCCAGCTCTTCTCTCGGTACTTTGCCAAGCACAGCTCTTTCTGAGGCATAGTGTAGGCTGGAGCAGGTGCCCGATGTGCAAATCTTCCCCTTTGCTCGCGTCTTTGACCTGCCTCCCGAGGTGCTCGAAGAAGGCTGTAGCGGTGGCAGCCTCTTCATCGCGCTCAACTTTACCGTGCCCCGGGGCGCGACCCGCTTCTCCGTGGACCTCACGGCGGCCGTGCAGGATTTCGCCGCGCTCGTCGACACGTGGCTCGGTCGCAGCAGCGACATGGACGTCACCGTGCACTACAAGCGGCGGTCTGCGCTGCCGGCGTGGGTGGGCACGCAGACCCAGCGCCTCATGGAGAACGGCAAGCGGCGGACGGCGTGCGTCGCGGACGAAGAGACGCCGCACAGCACCGTCTCGAGTCCCAAGCGGCGCAAAAGGTACGTCCAGCCGTAACCTGCTTGACTCGTAACCTTGATGATACACTCCTCATCGTCCAATTTGGCCGACATTGTCGCCCGGCGCATCGACATTAAAGTGTTTTGCGATCTTCGCACATGTGTTTAAACGTACTTGGCGCCGCGTCGATGTCATCAATCGGAGGAGCGTCCAGTGATTGGTATACATTGTCGTGCTTTATAGCTGCAATTGTCGCTGCAACATGGGAGGCTCGGACGAGTGGGGCGAATGGGTTTAACCCTTTAACCCCGGGCCTCGATCCGGCGCGTAATACTGTGAAAACACATACTTGATCATGTACTGTGGCCATGTACGTCTTTTTATCTTGTGCTTTGTATGCCTGGAATGTACGTACGGTGTACGCAGTCGTACAATTGGGTGTGGGAGGAAGGCGGTTTTTCACCAGTCGTTGCTTCATAACAAATTCCCATGCTTGCTCGTGTTGCCCTTCGCTCGACGCTCTCGCGCCATGCGCGTCGCTCCATCTCGTCGTCGCTGCCCCGCTTCCTTGAGGTGAAGGAGCCCTCGGCCGAACAGGCCCAGATGATGAACAACGAGCTCGACGTCTCGCCGCGTGTCCAGCATGCGCTCAACCTCATCTGCGAGCTCAACATGATCGAAATCGCCGAGCTCTCCAAGGCCGTTCAGGTACCGTGTCACCGCATGCGTATGGTCATGGCTCATGCTCGCGCCTTGTCTTAGATCAAGTTTGACATCCCGGAAATGGGCTTTGCCATGGGCGGTGGCGGCGGCGGCGCGGCTGTCGAGGAAGAGGTCAAGGAAGAGAAGACGGCTTTCGACGTCAAGCTCGTGAGCTTTGATGCCAAGAACAAGATCAAGGTCATCAAGGAGATCCGCGCCATCACGGGTCTCGGCCTCAAGGAAGCGAAGGAGCTTGTGGAGAACGTCCCGGCCGTGCTCAAGAAGGATGTGAAGAAGGCCGAGGCCGACGAACTCCTGGCCAAGATCGCGGAGATCGGCGGTGTCGGTGAATTGGAATAGATGATCCCCTTGGTAGTTGTAGAGAATGCTTCTTTATTACGTCAAAACACGACGAATGTGAACAGGCGACAGCCACACCCGTTCGACTTGGCGCTAGGACACCTTCGTCTCTGCGCGTCCCTACTACCCTCTGCAGGTTGTCGTTCTCGGTGCCCGTGACGTACACTACTGCGACCACTATTGCCGCGTCCGTGGCCATTGTTGCTGCACGAGCCCTCGCCAGATCCTACGAGGTTGAGCCCATGCAGAGCTAGGCGCACGCGCAAGGAGCTAGCAGGCTCTAGTAGCGACCAGGTATACTATAGACATGGCGACGACGTGAGCTTCGTCGATCCGGAGCGCGGGCGACGACCAGTGTGGGCGATGCTGAGCGTTGATGATGCTCTTGAGATGCCAAGATACCGCGCACCGGATAGAGTCCGGATAAACCCGCGAAATGGAGTATGATGTCTGAGAGGCGACGGCGTCCTGGCCGTTAATTGCGAATTGTCGAAGATGTCGTCGGGCTTTGGGTTCAAGGGCACGGCCAACCGGTGCTACTCCTTCTGGAAGGAGGTCGAGCGCTGCAACGTACGTGCTTCCTGACGTGGCAAAGCTCATGGCTGCGTAGCGCGAAGCGGACCTTCCGGGCTCGTGCGCCGCCCCCGTTGAAGACTACCTCGAGTGCCTCCACCACAAGAAGGAGGTAGGTCCAAGCACACTCCTTGCGCATTCATAGGCTCATGGCTTCAAACGTAGTTCTCGCGCATGAACGCCATGGTTGTCCAGCAGGACCGCGAAGCCAAGGGCCTCGGCAGCAGCAGCGCGCCGCATCATTAGCCGCTCAGTACTCCGTAATACAGCTCTATATGGTGGCCGTTGTCGATCCGGCCTCGCGAAGGTAGCCCACCCAGCGTGCATTGCTGTGCCAACCTCGATGTGCAATGCATCATCGTTGCGCCACTCGACATTGCATGCACAGGCAGTTGACCTGCGAGTCTTGGCAACGACGGTCGACCTGGAACTCCAGCGTGCGACAAGGCTTGTGGTGTCCTGGCCAGCTCGCAGCTCTTGTGCCGTCCTCGAGCCGATTGCCAGAGCTAGATTCGATGGCAGGTTGTTGGCGTTCTGTCCTGGACTTGTACCATTCATGTTGCTGCCGTATCTTGCGTTCACGTCATGATGCGTGACTTCAGAGCGCAGGCGTCCAGGCGGCAGTTGCAGGTTGGCGCTGGCACCGCAGGGCGCCACGTTGGCGATCCAGTGGATTTCTCAGCTACGTCCCACGGCTGGCTATCGCCTATTCGGTTCCGAAACGGACGAATCTTGCGTCCGTCATGGAATATCGAATCGGGGACAATGGTGGCAGCCCGAGACGCGACGCGCCGGCGCAAGTCCGTCACCGCGCTCGACGTCCCGCTGCCCCGGCGCGCGCTCAGCCCGACGTTCCGCCTCCCGACGCCGGTGCATGGCACACGCCAAGCGCGCCGCCCGACGCGTCTCGGGAAGCAGGTACATGGGCGCCTGCACTCGCATATCTGAAGTGGATTGCCGTAGCTGCCCGACCGGTTCATTCCGCTGCGTGGTGCCATGAACCTGGACTACTGCGCGTACCTTATGGCTGAACCGGACGTCATGGCGAGCCCGGAACCAGTGCCAACGCACCGCGACATGCTCATGGCCCACCTCGTCGCGTCGCCAGAGGAAGGTACACGTCTTCTGCGCTACCGGCCGCGACCGCGAACGGTGCCAGAGCCACTGGCACGCCTTCGCCACCCCGAGCTCGACACGTCGCACAGTGGAGGGCGTCATATACCTACCGTTCCGACGCGCATTTTGGACGCGCCAGACCTGCGCGACGATTACTACTTGAACCTCGTGGCGTGGGGCTCGGAGAACGTGCTCGCTGTCGCTCTGGGTCAGCTCGTGTATCTCTACAACGTCGATACAGGCAGCATCCAGGTGCTCCAGGCGGCGACCACGACGCCCAACGACTATGTGACGTCGGTCGCGTGGACAAGCGACCGACAGCTCGCTGTCGGGACATGCAAGGCCGAGCTCCAGATCTGGGACATCATCGGCTCCAAGCGCATACGCACCCTCGACGGCCACGGCGAGCGCATCGGCGCTCTCTCGCACAACGCGTCGGCCTCGATCCTCGCGTCCGGGTCGCGCGACACCAAGGTAGCTTCATGGTTGACATACTGGTCCATACACAGGCTTCCTAGATTCGATACCACGACCTCCGAAGCACACCGTATGCGGTCTCGACGCTGTGCGGCCACACACAAGAGATCTGCGGCCTAGCGTGGTCGCCCGACGGCAAGACGCTCGCGTCAGGCGGCAACGACAACTGGTACTGTCTTTTCCGAGCGCTCGCTTCTAAACCTCTCCTAGCTTGAGCCTCTGGGATGCAGCAATGCACGTATCGTCGCCCCGCTGCACGCTGCAGGAACACACGGCTGCGGTCAAGGCCCTCGCGTGGTGTCCGTGGGAGCGCCATTTGCTGGCGTCGGGCGGTGGCACGGCCGATCGCTGCATCAAGTTCTGGAACGGAGCTTCGGGCATGGCGCTGCAGAGCGTGCACACCGGCTCCCAGGTTTGTGGACTGCTCTGGTCCCCGTACGAGCGCGAACTCCTCTCGTCGCACGGCTTTTCCCAGAACGAGCTCTGTCTCTGGAGCTACCCTCGCATGGCCCGCCTGCGCGAGTTCACGGGCCACACGGCACGCGTCCTGCACATTGCGCTCTCACCGGACGGCGGCTCGGTCGTCTCGGCGGCAGCGGACGAGACGCTGCGGTTCTGGAACGTCTTTACGCCCAAGGGCGCCACGCCGGCGCGGTTCGGGTCCACAGCGCACTTTTCGACCCACTGCGGCATCCGGTAGATGAACAAACCATCAATCCCACCTCGACCGTGTACACCGTGGAGGAGGAGACACTGAGCAAGGATCTAGAGACCAAGCCGTTGGCGCAGTATTGAACAGTCGGAACCCAGAGGTCGCTAGAATGCTTGGCGATCTTGTATCTGGAAACCGGATATGCGTTTTGATTTTGACAGTGAGATCTCGGACGAGGGCAGCGGGTGGGATCTTCTCACGGACTGGAGCTCACTGTACGATGGATCAACTAGCGAGGCCGCTCACACCTTGTGCTTGACAGCGTCAGGTCGACGATTGAGCCTTCGAACTCGCGCAACAAGTGTGGCTGGCTTCTTCTCGAGTTACCGTTGGCCTATGAAGGTGGCGACCTGATGTTCCCACATTCCTCTGGCCCGAAGCGCATCGGGACGCCAGGTGCAGCGCACATCACCATGATGCGACACGGTGCTCTCGACTGCCTTTGGTATGTGCTCGATTGTCGCTTCGACAGGGCCTATCGCCATCGCTGTACGTCCCGAATCGCTCCATCCGCTGCCAAACGCGGGGAATTCGCCAAGTACGCGCACAAAATGCTCGTACTGGTGGTAACTGAGGGTGAATCATGCAAGTGACTTCTCGTCCGCTGCGTCGGCTTGGGCCGCTCAAAGATGTTGTCCGCTCGCCCACAGGACCTTTTCAAAACAAGGGCGCAAACAATATTTATGTATTTCGTTAAAGAGAGCGTCGTCGGGCTCCCCAAGAAGGCTGCGAATGAGTCATCTTCCATCGTATCCTTTCTTGAAAATGGCATGTGCCATGTATAAGCTCCTCATGGTGCCACAAATAGTGCAATTCGGCATCACTTTGGATACGAGTTTCGAGCGCTGTAGGCCGCGCACGACGGTGCAACTTGGTGCTCCGTGCTATACAAAGCAAACTTAATCACTCTACGACGTAGGAGCCATTTTGTATTTTGACCGAGGTTTGCCATAAAATCGCAAGCGGGAACGCACCGCGACAGCTTGCGTGTTATTAGCCACATTATCCGGATATCTGATGCAGCATCGCCAGGCCGCGCGATCGACCACTTTGCGTTCGAAAACGAAATGTCCAAGACTTGGCACAGTGGTAGAGGACGCTTTGGAGAGTACGGAAAGCGAGG